TTTTAGTTGTAGTAGGACACAATATCTTTATTTTGTGTATTTATTTCTATGTGGCGTTGAGGATTGAACCCAGGGCCTCGCACTTACTAAGCAAGTGCTCTTTTGCTGCTGAGCCACTACCCCAGTCCCTTGCTACTGTTTTCTACATTGTATAGGGGAGATATTTACTATCTTTGAGAAATCTGCTGAATGTTCATGTTTTGAGAATTCATCCAAATGTAATTATTTCTTTATATTAGTAATTTTACTTCTGTTATGTGCCTTTAAATTACATTTGGTATCATTATTAAGTTAATATTCTATATGGCAATTGCAGTATAACAGTGGACAAAATTATTTTACTAACAGTAGATAAGACTTTAGTAAATAGTCTTTTAAAAGATTTTTAAAAATTCTATAATTTTTTCCCCAAATAATTATAATGTACAGTTTTTAAACTGTTTTAGAAACTTACTTAATAGTATTTAGTCATTGATATATAAATTCACCTTTAGAACAAGTTCTTCATTTAAGGTTTTTTTTTTTTTTTTTAATATCATGGATTGAACCAGGGTGATTAACCACTGAGTCACATCCCAGCCCTTTTTTAATTTTTTATTTTGACACAGCATCTTGCTAAGTTGCTTAGGGCTTCACTGAGCTGCTGAGGTTGACTTCAAACTTGAGATACTCCTCCTGCCTCATCCTTTGAGTTGCTGGGATTACAGGTGTGGGCTACCAACGTAGCTGGCTATAGGAAATTTATTGTAATTCAGAAATAGAATGTAAGACCTTCTCCAAATATATTGTTAATTAATTTATCTTAAAGTGAGTTTACTTTATTGTTGTTTTGACAGAAAGTAAAACATGTGGGTTGGGGATGTAGCTCAGGGATAAAATGCTTGCCTAGTATGTGTGAGGCCCTGGTTTCAACCTCCAGTACAAAAAACAAAAAAGAAGAAAGAACAGCATACTGTATTTGAAGAAAAAGCTAGCATATGAGAATTTTTACTTAAATATCATAATTTAATCTTCTAACATATTTACTTATTTGTGCAGTACTAGAAATTGAACCCAGGGCCTCTTCATGCTGGGCAAGTACTTTAGCACTAAACTATATCCCTAGCTGTCTAATTTGCATTTAAAAACAGTTTCCTTTTGGGGCTGAGGTTTGTGGCTCAGTGATAAGAGTGCTCGCCTAGCATGCATGAGGCACTGGGATCAATCCTCAGCACCACATAAAAATAAAATAAAGATATTGTGTCCACCTAAAACTAAAAAATAAATATTAAAAAAATACAATTTCCTTTTAATACTTTTTTTTTTTTTTTTTGTCATACTAGGGATTGAACTTAGGACCCTATATGCCAGGCAAGAACTCTGCCACCAGATGTTTTTAGTACTTTCTAAAAAGTACACTAACACCTCTATTGCATTTGTATTTTTGGAGCTCCTTTAATATTACTGACATTAATATTAATGTCATTACTTCTAGAAAACAGTAGTTGCAGAACATTTTGTTTAAATGTCAAATGACAGGATGCATGTTATTAGACAAAGTTCTCTGTACTTCCATTTTTTTACTGGTACTTTTTAGTTATACATGACAGTAGAATCCATTTTGACATAATTATACAAGTATAGAATATATCTTATTGTAGTTAGGAACCCATTCTTGCGGATGTACATGATGGTGGGATTCCCTGTGATGTTTTCACATATGTACACAGGAAAGTTATGTCAGATTCATTCCACTGTCTTTACTTTTCCTATCCCCCCTCCTTTCCCTCCATTCCCCACTGTCTAATCTAATCTACCTCCTCACCACTTTATTGCCTTTATATGGGTTAGCTTTCTTCCACATTATCAGAGAGACCATTCGACCTTTCGGGGACTGGCTTATTTCTCTTAGCATGATAGTCTCCAGATCCATCCATCGCTTTTTAAATTTGAGACTTTTCAATTTTTAAATAAATTTCTAGGACTCAGATACTTCTACAATTACCCTCTTCAAATTAAAAAAAAAAAAAAAAGCCTAACACTGCAAATAAATTGGGAAGAGATGGATAAATTTCAAAAATATATACTGCTTAACTTGAATCAACCAAAATTTGACCTTACTATATATCAAGCTTTGTATTAGGTCTATCTTAAGGTACAGTTACCAATGGTATAACTATATTTATTTTTTTAGTTAAAAAAAGTTTTACTGATAACATAAAAACAAGAAAGTTGTACATATTAATAAGGTGACATATGATGTTTTTATATATATATATATATATATATATACACACACACATATACATTACATAATATTTAAATCAGGTTAAATATATCTCCTCAAGCATTATCAATACTTTATGGTATACATTTTTAATAGTTACTTATATAGGATATTTTATGCCAACAAAATTTGTATAATATACTCTTGCCTTCTACAAAAGCAAATGTGAACCATCAATGCCAATTAATCTCCCAATATAAAAAATTCTAATTGTTAAGACTTCTTCCTCCCTACAACTATATCCAAAATCTATCAATTCCTTATCATGAATTACATATCCTCCCTAAGAAAAAATCACTAAGCCCTGGTACTGCCATCAATCTCAAATCCCTATTTTTCAATGCCATTCCATCCCATACTCACTAATAACAACTCTATTATCTCTTCCACTGGACCATTACAAACTCCCCATACATCCTCCATCTATTCCCAAACATTCCTCCTGCTACTTTGGCTTCAGTAAAATCCCAAAGCCCCTAAAAGCACCATTTTTTAGTAGTCATTTCTTAAAAAATGTGCTACTTGCTGGGTGTGGTGAAGCATGTCAATAATCACAGTAAGTAGAGAGACTGAGGCAAGGCGATTGCAAGCTTGAGGCCAGCCTCAGCAACTCAATGAGACCCTGCCTATAAATAAAAAACAAAAAGTACTGGGGATGTAGTTCACTGGTAAAGTGCCCCTTGTTCTGATCCCAGTAATAAGACAAAACAAAGATGCTATTTTTCCTATTCTCCTAGAAGGATACTGTTTGCAGACCATTCTTATTTAATGCTTAACTTTTCCTTTTAAAAAATTATTCATAAAAAATACCACTCCTCCTGTCTTGGACACCATTTCCTATTATCCTACCCAAGGCACTTTTCTTAATAACAACTGGCTCCTAGTTTCACTCTCTAGCTTATTCTCTGTGTTCATGAATTGAACATCTGCAATACTTTTTCTAGATTCTGGCCTCAATATCAATGTCCATCTCATCTTCTCTATTCCAATTCCTTTTCATCCTGAATTGGTAATTTATTCAGAGAAATTCTGAAATTCCTTTCTGTTCATAAATTCTAGCATTATATTTTTTCTCACTGCCTCATTTCTGCTAACCTTGCTCTTGGCTCTCCCCCAAATGCTTTCTAGTCCCTTGATCTTTTTTTCTCTCTCAATATATTAATCTGGCTTCCTTACCCAAACCCAAATGTAAGTAAATGCATTCTAAAAATATCTTGCTAGCTTCATTAACTTTCTCTTCTATTTGCCCATTTTGATAACTCTAGATAAGCCCACTACCTGCTTTGTTGCTTCTACCCTCAAATTCTCAAACAGTGAGGAAATAATAATGACACTGGTTGTGCCCACTATTAAGGTACACTATATTCTATACATATACACTTTACCATGAGGTAAAGCACTTTGACTGTTTTGTACACTGTCTTATCTCCAGTACTTTATGGTCATTACATAGTACACCAGAGCATTCAACTAGATTTATAAAATAAATGTAGTACTATGTTTCTCCTGTTTAGATTCACACAAAATTCACTAGTGTAATCATTCTAAACCCTTTGCTTTTTTCAAGTCTCAAAACCATTTACTTCAAAAGGCTACATCCCCTATTAAGAAAATGAAAGTTGGGGTCAGAGGTAGAGCACTCGCCTACCACATGAGAGGAACTTGGTTCGCTCCTCAGCACCACATGAAATTAATTAATTAATTAATTAATTAAAGGTATATAAAAAAGAGAAAATGAAAGTCTTCCAATGTGAATTAACTTGATTATTATCATTATTTTTATTTATTTTATTTATCTTCCCTAATGTGCTAAAAGGAAAATTAATTTTATAATTCTTTTTATTTCACTAAATGCCTATTACATAGCAAGCATCTGTTGAAACCTGTCACACACTCACATCTAACCTTTGCTGAATTCCATTTTCTTGTCCTATTCTGTTATAGTCTTCCAGGAAAAAAGCAAAACAAAACAAATACACACTCTGAGAATTATAATGAAGATATGAATCAACTACCAATTTGTATTTCTACACAGCAGTCTCATTGCAGGTCCTCATAGGGAAGCTGAAAATCTGTTGCTTTCATAGAAAGCAAGAATACAGTAAACAAATTTTGAAAATAGGCTTTCTTAAAATCTTAACAGTAGAATTAAATTCATATTCTGAGATATTTTTAAAGACCAATTATTTCTAAAGTGGTTTTGACATAATTTCTTCTGATCGTCAACCTTTAGTCATTTAAATTCCAAAGTGCCCTTAACTTTCCCTGAATGAACTTTCCTTAGTAATGACTTAACATGTTTCAATGCACTAGGCACAAAAATTCATGTTAAAAGTAATTTTAAACAACTAAAAGAATTTCTATAACAAACTTAAAAAACATTTTTATGAATAAAAGATAAAACCAATTAACAGACTGTGGAAGGACATTTCAAATTAAATGGATTTTGAAAGAGGTTATACTAATAGTTGTCATACAATAAATTTGAACTCACATGGCCTGAGGAAATTCTGTGAAGACATATTTGAAAAGATACTTCACAAACCATTCTAGTTATTTAGTTATTAGGAATAGCATGGAAGGCTGGCCAAAATAATATGCCAAAAAGCAGAGCAAACAAGGCAGCAGACCCAGAATGTTTGTACAGCCCTCAATCATACACTGGATACCAGTCTCCATCATAAAGTGTTCAGCTATAATACAAGGGAAAATAATAAATATAATGTCAAATTACCTATTTAGAAACAAGTTTTGCAGCTCAGAAACAGCTCCTTTTCTGCTTCACACTTTAAAGTTGTTGTCTGCATATGATTAAAAAAAATCACTTCAGTAAATTCTTAACACTGTGAAGTACAGAATAATAAATATTATATTTGTGGTCTAAAATATATTTAGGAAATCAACAAAGAATAAAAATATAATTTATCAGTATTTTTAAGCTTAAGTTACCTTAACTTTTTTGGAAAACAGTGCATTTAAATGTTAAAATCCCCCAAACCTCTAACACCCTACCAAACTGCAAAATGATATCTTAACATCTATTTTGTAATAGTAATGAAAACAGCTAATCCTATTACCATTGAAAAATCCGTGAGAAAGTTGATTCTGATTGATCAAGTCATTAACTTTCTATCACTATTCAAGAACTTTGGTCATACGATGATGAAAAATGCAAGGCTAGCTCCTTCATAACAAAATAATCCTGTCTCTATGTAAACACAAAGTGTACCTTCAGTTTAAAAATTCAGTATTATAACGGCATCCAGTTGCCCTCACCAGGAAGGTGATAGGGAGAGAAAGGAGCAGGTGCAACACCCACTCGGGTAACCAGAGAATACCAGAAGGCGGGGTCTGGAAAGCGGTTAAGGGGCGGAGATGAAGTGGGCGCCCAGAAAGCCCGCTTTCCAAAGCCAAAACAAGATCCCCGTAGTTCAACCGACCCAAACCTCAAACCGTCCAGGAAAAAAAAAAAAAAAATCCTATCAAGGTGAGCTGCGGGATGAAAAGTGAGCTCTACTGTCCCCCCACCAATGGAGCCAAATACCTAATCCCTAAACGCCAGTTTCTGCAAAGTAAGCAACGTTTCCCAAATCCCACTCAGCATTTCATTCCCCCAAATTTTTGGCCCTAACTAGATCTGCAAAAGGGATGGAGAACAGGGGCAACAGGAGGAGTGTGAGGGAGAGAGCGCTATTAAATCAACATTTCCTTCGCAAGTAATAAACCACCTCTGGTCCAAAGTCAGGAATGTCGACCCTCGCTCGGTAGAGAGCTGAAATCCGGCTGCTCACAGGCCAACCCAACCCTGTAAGGGTCACGACGCTCCTTGTCTGCCCTTCTCCGCCCAGGAGTCTGGGCGTCCAAAGCCCCACAGAATGGAATTTGGGGGGTGGGGTAGGAGGAAGCACCAAGAAGGGGCCTCCGGCCACCAAGGCCTTCCTTTGAGAGCTCGACTCCGGCACCTAAACGACAGCCCTCGCCCTTGAGTCTCCACCCGTAAGGGGGCATTTCTGGAGCACCCCAGAAGCAGGGTGACATCCTCCCCAAGTCTACGAAGAGAGAGACGGGGAGTCTGCAGTCGCCAACGCGTCCCTTAGAAGCTCACCTCGGAGATCGCGTCGGTCGGTCCCGGGGGAGGGGCGGACTGTCTGCCTAGGAGACGAAAAAGAGGCAGCAAAAAGTCTCAGGAGACACTGAGGAGGCGTGGGTCCCAGGTCAGGCCCAACACGGTCAAGCGTCCCAGAGCCGTTGCTCTCCCGCCCCTGTGGCGCGCTGTCCCCGGTTGCCAGGGACCGGGAACGCGGAGGCTTTACCTGTAAACGAAGCAGCCGCTCCTGCGAAGGGCGCAGTGGCGGTCAGCCCCCACGACCCGCCACTGGCAGCGTTCCTCCCTTAGAGACCGCAGCAGGGAGGTCCACAAGTTCCCTGACTGCCTAGAGCCCAATGGCCGCCTTTCTACTTTAGGTACTCGGCGCCAACCGCCGCAGCCACCGCCATCTTAGGACCTCATTGTGGTGGGAGAAGCGGGGCGGGGGGACTGCAGAGGGGGCAACGCGAGGCGAGACATGCGCCGTCACCTCGGAAACCGCCGCGCGGGGGCGAGAACTCGCCGGGGCGGGAGCCGCAATGCGATCTCAGTAAGCGCTAGACTCGAGTCACGTGACCCGCCAGCGTCTACTCTGTCCTCTGGCCTTTTAGTCACGAACAGATTACACAAACGAACAACCAGAGACTACATAGCCCAGAATGCAAACTCGGTCCCGGGTTATGAATTCCCTTCCGCTTTAGGGACAGAGACTACAAATCCCAGCAGTCTGTGCGCTTCCCGGACGGAGGCCTGTGCGGAAGTGGATTGGCCCCTCCGGCCCTTGGAGATAGAGCGTGGGGCGGGGCTAGTTTTCTGTGGAGGTGTCAGCTCCAGGTTGTGCCCCAAGGAGGAAGAAAGACTGAGGTCGCACTTTCTGTCTTTCTTACCCAGAAACTGGTCGCGAAGGGAAGGAAACAAAACAGCCCTGACGATCTTATCTAACCCCCTAATTTTAAAGTGAGGAAATAAATCCTCGGAAATTAGTTTGCCACACCTTATATATACCTAGTCGGTGGGAGAATCATAAATATTGTTAATAATGAATACTATTTTAGAATCACGTCCTGCTTTTTCCTTAGAAGAAAAAGATATCTTTAATCAGAGTTTAATCTCTGGAAACTTTCTCATAACCTGTAGCCTTTGAATTCCTTTTATTTGTACCCTTCTGTTAACAGCTCTATTAAGATTAACAAATTGACAGATTATCTCTTTAAAAACAAATTTGATAAAGGAGGAGAACTTCTTAAGTTAAAAACAATTGTCAATTTTAGTTGAGTGCAAAGGCATTCTAGCTTTAGACAGTTTATATTATGGGATAACTTTTTTTTGATGCAAAATAAGGGTAAGAATGGGCTTCCCAATAATTTGTTCTCAGTGACCTACAGAAATTGTTTACAAAACCAATTAGTAGAACTTCATCTCAGAACACAATTCAAAAAAAGCTCTTCCAAGCCACTGCGATTTGCTACTGCATCCGAGTTCAGTCATCAGGGCCAGAATGATCACTGATGCTATTCATTTATCATACATTAAAAACATTTTGTTGTTGTTTCTAATTTTGCTAAGTACAGAGATTAAAAAAAAACTGGCGTTGAACTAATATTTTATTGAAGGATGGGGAAATGATGGAGTTTAATGTAGGTAAATTTTGTGTTGTAAGAAAAGTGCTATGAGAGCGCAAGGCGGAAAGCAACCAATTGTCTAGGTGTTTATTGTAGTCCAGAATGCTGTATCCTACTTTCATCGCTCTGAGATCTTGGGCAAGTTACTTAGTCTTTTTAAGCCTCAATTGCTCCATCTATAAAATGAGGGAAAGGGAATAATATTGCCTATTTCGAAGGATTTAAACACTTTTTTTCTTAGTGTTTATTTTATACCAGGCAGTGATTTTCTTAATTCATTACTATGATTTTCTTAATTCTCATAAAATCCCTGAAGAGGTTGGTTTTGCATAGGACCCATTTTACAAATAAGAGGTAAAATAAAGTTCTGACAGAACCATGTAGTATAAACTAGATTTAAACTGAGGTATAACTGATTCCTTGGAGGAACTTATTGTTGTTAAGACAGAAAAGGCAGCCAGCTAGGTGTGGTGGCACAGATTTCCAATCCCAGTGGCTTGGGAGGCTAAGGCAGGAGGATTGCAAATTTGAGGCCAGCCTCAGCAACTTAGTGAGGGCCTATGCAACTTAGACCCTCTCAAAATAAAAATATAAAAAGGGCTGGGAATGTGGCTCTGTGGGTTAAATGCCCCTGGGTTGAATCCCCAATACCAAAAAAGGGAGGGCGGATTAAAAAAAAGTATTAACACATGGCAAAGCCCCAAAACATTACTATCATCATTATTTTGTTATATATGTTACCAAAGCAAATGAAAAGAAAAAAAAATGGAGACAGACCTCAAGAGATCAGCAATGCTTTATTAAGCAGCAGAGGGGCATATTTTCAAGAGGAAAATGGGGACTGACTACAACAAGAGTCTGAATTTTATAGGGTTTAGCAGGGCCACCTTAGGGAAGGAGTTTGTCAGATACTTTTGGCAGGCAGGGGAACTTTGGCAGATAAGGAAAATCAGAGTCAATTTTATAGGGTTTAGCAGGGCCACCTTAGGGAAGGAGTTTGTCAGATACTTTTGGCAGGCAGGGGAACTTTGGCAGATAAGGAAAATCAGAGTCAGAGTCCTCACCCCCTCCAACACCCCACTCCTGTTAAGTTTCCACCTATATATATAATTTTTAAATGTATGTAGAAACTATTGCCACTAAGATTTTTAAATTTATGGAATGTCAATACTATACTGTTAGTGGTGGGAAGAATTTGAAAATTTCTTAAATTAAAAACAAATCCTTGGGCTGGGGTTGTGGCTCAGTGGTAGAGCACTTGCCTAGCACATGTGAGGCCCTGGGTTCTATCCTCAGCACCACATAAAAAATAAATAGAATATTTATTATGTATTGTGTCCAACTACAACTAAAAAATAAATATTAAAAATACAAACAAACAAAAAACAGATCCTTAGGCAGGCACAGTGTTAAACATCTGCAATCCCAGCTATTCGGAAATTGAGGCAGGAGGAACTCAAGTTGAAGACCAGCTGGTGCGATATAGCAAGGCTTGCCTCAAATAAAAATTTTAAAAAGGGCTGGGGATGTAGCTCAGCTATAGACTGCTTGCTTACCATGTGCAAGGCCCTAGGTTCTATTCTCAGTATCACAAAAACAAAGGGAAAGGGTTCTTAAACTCAAATATGGGCATTACTGAAATTTATAGGGGAAAAAGTAAAGAAAAATCAGAGAAACTATAAAATTACCACTAACTTCCAAAAGTTTAATGTTTAATCTAAAAAGCAAACCCTATGGCAATGAATCAATTTTGTATCAGTTGTGCATGACTGTGTCAAATAAATGTTATAGGCAGAAAGTGCTTTAGTAATTCAGAATAAAATAGGGATATATTGTCTCAGAAATTATGATAGCTCCAAAATTTCTATATAGGATGAAATTAGGGACAGAAATATTTGAAAATATCTCTCTGAAATAGAAGAGTTGCCTCTAAGATATATATATATAAAATTTGAAACCACATTTCAATTGTCCTCATTTAGACAGTTTAACATGTGTTAAGATGCAGGGTATAAATGACAGATTGAGGTTCAAGGAAACATGACACTCCACAAACTCAGATAACACATCAAAAATTAGCACTAGACAACACAGGAACCAGACTAAGTGAAGAAAAGCATTCGTGTAGAATGAAGGATGGGGACGTAGGAGAAGGCAAGATTGATGAAGAGGTTGGAGCCAGACTATAGAAAGCCTGAACTACTGCTCTGGAGAGTTTGGGTTTTGTTTTGCAGTCAGTGTGAAACCACTAAAGATTTTGGAAAGAAGGAAATGATGTAATGAAATGGTTAAGACTTCAATCTAGTAGCAACGTTTAGCTCAGACCAGAAAGAAAAGAAAAGGTAGAGACAAAGGGAGAAGGTATGAAGTAAGAAAGGCTTGGCATTAGGTAATAACAGGATAAATTAAACAAGGAATTTGGATTTTTTTAACATAAACAATAAATACCATTTGTTTCTGTTGATATTTAGTAGGACACTGATCAGGTGGTTCTTATAACATTTTGTATTATGTTGTTTATTTTTATGTTGTTATATTTTGTAATGTTCTTTATTCACAGACTGTAATCATGGCTTTAGCAGAAACCATGCCTTTGTACTCTTCATATCCCCAGGCCTTATACAGTTCTTTTATTTTTATTTTCTCTAATTTGGGCTTTGAAACAAACAGTTTTATGCAATTCCTATTTTCAACCTGCAGGTGGTGATAGAACTTAAAGGAAACATTTTCAGTGACTATACTAACTTAAATTATATCATTGTTTTTTATGTGATTTTTGATACCCCCCAAAATATATGACAAATTTGTAAATTATAAGGTAAAATAATAATAACACTCAAGAACCCACCAGCTCATCTAACACATAGAATTTAATATGTTAAGGGACTTCTCATTCTTTTCTCCAAACTCATTTCTCTGTAGACATAAAAATGTACTAACCTGAATTCAATGTTATCATTTCTTCATTTTCTTCATATAACTATGGATGTTCACCAAAATATTGCTTAATTTTTTGTTTTTAAACTTTATGTAAATGATATAATACTGGATATATTTTTATATGACTACTTTTTGTCCAAAATATCTTTCTGATATTCATCCATGTTGATGGATGGGAACATATTTATATATTTTGAGATATATCTAAAAGAATGTAACAGGATTTTAACTTAATTGAGTGGGTAACTTAATGAAAAAAGAGTTGGTCATGCCAAAGAAGGGACTAGTTGAAGACCTTTAGCCTAGCTTGTATATCTTTTAGTTAAATTTAAGCATTATTACTTCTCTTCTTTATCTGGCCTTGACAATATTGGCATTTGGGGAAGGATGATTCTTCTTGCTGGGGATTGTCCTGTGCATTGCAGGATATTTAGCAGTGTCCCTGGCCTTTACCCACTAGGTACCTCTAGCAACCCCCACTCCCAGTTAAGAAAGCCAAGAAGTGTCTCCTGGCATTGGTTGTCGAGTGTTCCTTGGAGTTGCAGGGAAGAGAGAAAAATCATTCCCGCTTGAGAAACACTGATCTGATCTTTGCATTAAGAAAACTACATTAATTATGATTTTTATATAAATCTTTTGCTTAAAAACTTGAAGTAAACATACATAATGAAATCAATTGTATAATCATATCAGCTAATTATATCAAATTCACACGTATAAGTAATGTTTCAAGGCTCTTATTGCTTTCCCCCATTTTCCTATATCTGGTTACCATGACATCTCTCATTACTGCCT